AAAATAAGTTTTTGGATGTGTGCAGACCTTCTCTTTTGCGCGTGCAACGTTTCACTAGCTTGCTCACCTGATGCCCACGGCCGCCCTCAGTGCTCGCTAAATGCCAGCAACTCGCTTGCTCAACACAACCCAGCATTACAATATGCCATAATTCCAGCCAATCAAAGACCGAGGCTGCTAAATTCTGATTGACTGCCTTGACAACCAATCACAACATTTCTTGCATTACCTCGACAGCAGAAGAGGAAAAATATAGTGCATGCATAATTATGCAAGTTGATATTCTGATCATATTTTTTTCCAAGCACATTTTCCCAATTCCAAACAACATCAATCATTTAATTTTTTTTGTGAATGAAATGAATTAAAGAGCAATTGCGATCTGTTCAAAATGTGTATTTTCAAACTGTTGCTTATACAACTCATTTTGAGCTCCCTAGACAAATACATTTAGAGAACATATTTATGTATTCAAGTTGGTGCCTAAATTTTCTTTACTTGGTCTTAAAAAAAGTCTTAAATTAACCTTAATAAAACTTACAGAAACCCTGTTATTTGTAAAGCTCTTTTCATAGCGAGCACTGAGGGCGGGAATCAGGTGAGCAAGCTAGTGAAACTTTGCACGCGCAAAAGAGAAGGTTTGCACACATCCAAAAAGTTATTTTAAATGCAAAATTGATTTTCGTGCGTTTGAAATACTTTCTTCTTTGCGAGACAAACATTTTCTCCACAAAACTCAGTTCGCGCGCGTGCAAAACGCACTTTTGCGCGCTCAAAATATAATCTTTCGCGCGCAGAATGGTGGCAGAATTGTAATCCCATACGAAACGTGACACTGAACGAAATGAACTGTGATTGGTTGTTTGACATGTCAGTAAAACGGCCTCATGATCGGGCCTTGGCCAATGAAAGCTGCCATGGATTCCAGACATTCAGCCGTCAGTCTGAAGGTTTGGCTACGCGAGACTAGAGGTGCTTCTCAATACCCCTCCTCGTTTCCTCGCTCCTCTGTCCTCCATCCTATGACCCGGAAACCGATCGAGCTCAGCCATCTTGTAAGACATCTCAATTCTCTAATTGCACTGCGAGGAGGTGAGGATCGAGGAGTGAGGAGGCTTTCTGAGGAGCTATGAGCGAGGATACACA